CTTGAGAAGACAAAGTCAGTTATTATAATGAAATGTGCCAAGAGTTAGAGTTAGAAAACCAAAAGGGAAGAACATGCTCGGCATTTCTCAAGCTGAAAGAACTGAAGAAAACTCAAGCCTCAAGTTGCAATATTGAAAGATTCTATGGGCAAAATATTGAAGGATGTAGGAAACATCAAAAGAAGATGGAAGGAATACACAGAGTACCAAAAAGAATTGGTCAGTGTTCATCTATTTCAAGAGCATATGATCAAGAACCAATGGTATTGAAGGAAGAACTTGAAGCTGCATTGAATGAACTGGTGAAGAACAAGGCTCCAGGAACTGATAGAGTATCCACTGAGATGTTTTAACAAACATATGCTGGACTGGAGCCATTCACTTTTCTGTGCCAAGAAATTTGGAAGACAGCTACCCAGCCAACTTTCATTCCAAAGAAAGGTGATCCCACAGAATGTGGAAATTATCAAACAATATCATTAATATCACATGTAAGTGACATCTTGCTGAAGATAATTCAAAAACGGTTGCAGCAGTATCTTTACAGGTAACTTCCAGAAATGCAAGCTGGTTTCAGAAGAGGACGTGGAATGAGGGATGTCATTGCTGATGCCAGATTGGCTGAAAGCAAAGAATACCAGAATGATGTTTACTTGTGTTTCATCGACTTTGCAAAAGCATTCGACTGTGTGGATCATAACAAATTCTGGATAACATTGAAAAGAATGAGAATTCCAGAGCACTTAATTGTGCTCGTGAGGAACCTGTACATAGACCAGGAGGCTGTCATTGGAACAGAACGAGGGGATACTGCATGGTTTAAAATCAGGAAGGGAGTGCATCAGGTTTGTATCCTTTCAGCATACGTATCCAATCTGTATGCTGAGCAAATAATCTGAGAAGCTGGGCTGTATGAAAACAACATGACATCAGGATTGGAGGAAGACTCATTAACAGCCTGAGATATGGAGACGACACAACCTTGCTTGCTGAAAATGAAGATGACTTGAAGCACTTTCTGATTAAGATTAAAGACTGCAGTATGGATTTCACCTCAACCTAAAGAAAACAAAAATCCTCACAACTGGACAAATAAACAGCATCATGATAAATGGAGAAAAGATTGAAGTTGTCAAAGATTACATATTGCTTCGTTCCACAATCAACACCAGTGGGAACAGGAGTCAGGAAATCAGACATGTTGCTCTGGGCAAATCTGCTGCAAATGACCTCTTTAAAGTGCTGAAGAGCAAAGATACCTGTTTGAAGACTAAGGTTCGCTTTACCCAAATCATGGTGTTTTCAGTTGCTTCATATGCATGTGAAAGCTGAACAATGAAAAACTTAGACCAAAGAAAAATTGATGCTTTTGAGTTGTGGTGTTGGCGAAGAATACTGAAAGTACCATGGACTGCCAGAAGAAATCTGTCCTGGAAGAACTGCAGCTGGATTGCTCCTTGAAAGTGAGAATGGCCAGACTTTGTCTCACCTACTTTGGTCATTTTGTCAGAAGGGACCAATCGCAGGAGAAGTGTATCATACTTGGTAAAGTGGAGGGTCAGCAAAAAAGGGGAAGACCCTCAAGTAGATGGATTGACATAGTGTCTCCAACAATGGGCTTAGGTATAGCAAGTATTGTGAGGCTGGTACAGGACCAGGCAGTGTTTCATTCTGTTTTACATAGAGTCACTATGAGTTGGAGCCAATGCAACGGCACCTAACAACAACAACTAAAATGTCCTGTTCTCCACCTATTCATCCTTTCCCCCTCTGTCTTTATAGTTTTGCCTTTTCTAGAATGCCACATAGTTGGGGCATGTGTTTGTTTATGTGTTCATTTGGAGAGATTCTTTAGGGTCCAGAATCGGATTGGCTGTGATCTTTACAGAAGGTACTCGCCAGGCCTGGATGCTAGCACTGGATGGGTTCAAACCCTTGGGTTACTAAAGAATGCCATATATAGTCTATAGTGATTACCTTTTTAAAATATAGAATGTTACTCTCTTTCCTATTTTTGCAAATGTAGACATTTGTATTTATTTTAATGACAGAAATAGCAAGTTTTATTTTTAGTTCAGACAAGAATATTTAGCAATCATTCATTTTTGTTAATGAGCTAGATAATATTCCTGCACAAATTAATAATCCTCTGTATTTTAGTTAGCTTTATTACTGCAAGAAAACAGATTTTTGTTTAGATCGATAATTCTCAAAAGTGTGGTGCTTTCCACCAGTAGCATCAGCATCACCTAAAAACATGTTAGAAATGCAAATTATTGAGCCTCACTTCAGACCACCTATTCAGAAACTCTGGAGGTGGGGCCCAGAAACTGTTTTAACAAGCCTTCCAGGTGATTCTGATAAACACTAAAGTTTGAGAACTGTTGGTTAGATAATATCTGCACAGTGGCTATAAAGCTCAGCGCTTATAACTTGAGGCCTATGTTTGGTTTAATCTCAAGGTAATTGTTAGGAATGTTCAGTATTGCTTTTAAGAGATGTGTAGATGAAAAACAATAGGAAGGACCCCTTCAAAAGTTGTCTGTCATTGGTTCCAGTTGTTGAGATTTTGAGAACTAAGCAGAGCGCCAAGAATCCTTCACTATTGAGCTGAAGCAAATCATTTCAGTACTTAGTGTTATTAGCAGAAGCACTGTTTGTTAACATCCTTTAGATTTCTTCCATTAGCAAGACATTTAAAATGACAAAAGAATTTAGAGTTCCACATTTAAAATACAGGAAATTATCATTAGAATTAAGAAATTCCCCTTTCTAAATTCAGGGCCTTGGTGCTTATTTTGGCTGTTAAGTCTATAGTCTTTTTTTTTTTTTAACTCAACAAGATGTTGTTGTTGTTATGTGCCATTGAGTCAGACCCAACTCATAGCGACCCCTCCTTGGGTTTCCGAGGCAGTATCACTACAGAAGTAGATTGCCCTATCTTCCTTCTGAGGAGTGGCTGGTGGGTTTGAACCGCCAGCCTTCTGGTTAGCAGTCAAGTGCCTTAGGCACTGGCTACCAGAGCTCCTCTCATAAGGTAATTACTCTCAAAAAGAGGTATAACTGCTTAGGTGATGGTGTCCTCTTGGCATCACCAGTAGATCTTGTTGTGCTATGGATTAAAATTAGTGACTAGAGAACTATTAAAGGAAAGTTTGCAATGTTCCCTTTACAAATATTAAGAAGTGAAAGATTTTTTAAAACCAGAGGAAAGCTACTAACTTTTTAAAGATGTTGTTGTTGTTGTTGTTATGTGCCGTCGAGTCGGCCCGACTCATAGCAACCCCTCCTTGGGTTTCCGAGGCAGTATCACTACGGAAGTAGGATTGCCCAACCTTCCTTCCAAGGAGTGGCTGGTGGGTTTGAACCACCAGCCGTCTGGTTAGCAGGCAAGTGTCTTAGCCACTATGCTACCAGAGCTCCCACTTTTTAAAGATAATATTGAAAAAAAAAGAAAACACTTTCAAGATTGATTTTCTGCTTTGAGCTTTTTGTTGAAACTGTGTTTTCAGTAATGGATGACATTTTTAATGAAATGGAAAGAGAAGCAAATTTTTTTGGTTAATATGAATTTTTATACGATTACTGGGACACATGTCCCAAGGGATCTCTGGTGCAGACATTCGTGAGATGAGGCCCATTTCTTCAAAATCACAGTTACACAGGCCCCACCAGATGGCGGTACACACTAAAACTGGGATAGCAGCTTCCTACAAAACCCCAAAGGCACAAAGTGTAAGTGGGTACTGTGTGTCCCATGGGCTACAAAGGAGCTCTGGTGACATAGTGGGTAAGGCATTTGGCTGCTAACCAGCAGGTCGGTGGTTCAAACCCACTATTTGCTCCTCAGGAGGAAGATGAGGCGGTCTACTTCTGTAAAGATTTACAGCCTTAGAAACTCAATGGAGGTTGCTATGAGTTGGAATTGACTCAATGGCAGTGGGTTTGGTTTGGTTTTTGAGGGGAAAAACAGTATCTAAATGTTGTTTATTCTCTATGTATAACTAGGCTACATTATGAAAAATCCATTTCTTGTAATCAACCAAAAGAGATTAAATTTATCCAATTATTTATTAATTACTGCTTGTTTATAACTCAGGAGTTGGGATAGGTGTGGCATATATTTTAAAAAGGTCCTTACCCAATCAAATGAGTGTGAAACTTTTAACTAGTTTGTATAAAAATATGTAATGGAGAGTTTAGTGTTAGGAATGTCTTACAATATTTAGTTATGGGCCCAGGTGAGATTAATAAAATTGAGAAGGAGAAGCAATTTTCTGAAATTAACCAGTCTTTTTTGGTCTGGTTCCAGCTACCTGCCAGTGAACATTCCACATCTGTGTTACCTTGATATTGGTATTATTTAATTCATTTCTACATATAATTATCTACTTGCTAAACTGTGTAAAATGCTTTAGCCGATCACTTTTTAGCTACATGAGTTCACAACAGGCTAAGAGATTATTTTTCTTCTCTGAGAAGTTAGTGTGTAAAGTGTACAGTTTCTCACAAAGTAACTCATTTAAAAATAATGTGATTTGTCCATTATTGACTCTGTTAGTAAAATATCACAGAAGTAGAAGTCTACAAGAAAATACCACCATAGGGTATTTTGAAAAGACTTTAGTCAGATTGAATTGAAATTTGAAGACAAAACATAAAACAGATTTTTTTTTTTTAATTTTTAAATTCAGTTTCTAACTTAATAATTGTAGACCTTAAATTATTTGAAGATGGGGTGGGAAACCTGATAAATGAAGATATTCTAGCAAAGAATGAAAACATATTCATTTTTCTGCATAGAATGAGAAGGAAATATTTCTATAACTTTCTCAGCCTGTTCTAATGATTGATAGTCCCTTGGTTGGTTGTATTGTTAAATTACAGAAATTTGCAATGTAGGCCTTCACTTTTTTGTTCGGTTGACCTGGGCTGAAGACAGATCTCATGTTAAGGAAGTTTATCTTAACAAGCCATTTTATTTGTTTTTGATATTTTAGTTGTCTGAGGGAAGCCAAAAGCAAGCAAATCTACAGAAAAGCATTGAGAAAGCTAAAATTGGCCGACATGACACGGTAAGTTTATATCGTTAGACTCTAATCATAGCAATTATAAGTAGAAGAATAAGGACAAAGAGGGACGGGATACCATTCTTTCCAAAAGAGAAGTGGAAAGGTCATGAGAAGGTTTGGCATGGTAGAATTCCCAATCATAAATCTGGATTTTTGTTGTTGTATTGTATATAGTGACATAGCATAGAAGCATAAACCCTGGAGCCAGACTGATTGGGTGTGAAAGTCTCCTAAGGTTGCTGTTCCTCAATTTTCTCAGTTGTAAAAGGAGAAATAATAAAATCTAACCTCATTGGGTTAAATTGTTTGCAAATTGTTTGCAAAGCACATAGAAGAGGACCTGGCACAGGCCCTTTTTTCCAGGGTACCTGTGAGTGGATTTAAACCTTTAACCTTTGGTTAGCAGCTGAGCACATTAACCATTTATATTACCCAAGGGCTCCATGGCACTTGGGAAGCCCTGTGTAAATGTTTGCATAAATATTTTAAAACTCATGGTTTGTTTTTTTGTTTTTAAATTTTGAACAGAACAAACTGAAAACTGTCAACATGATATCCTTATAACCAAAAAAAAAAAAAGAAAACCCAAACTCACTACCATTGAGTCAGTTCCAACTCATAGGAACCCCTCCTTGGGTTTCCGAGGCGGTAAATCTTTATGGAAATAGATTGCCCAGTCTTCCTTCCGTGGAGTGGCTAGTGGGTTTGAACTGCCAGCCTTCTAGTTAGCAGTCAAATGCTTTAGGCACTATACCACCAGAGCTCCTTAGTATCTTTATAGCCTTGTAAAATTTTGAAATTATTTAAATGAATACAGACCTACTTTTCTTTTTTTACTTTTTACCTGTTTTTTGTTTGTTTGTTTGTTTGTTTGTTTGTTTGTTTACTTTTATTGTGGTGAAATTATACATGACAAGACTTTCACCAACATAACAACTTTCACATTTATAGTTCAGGGACATGGATTCGTTTCATGCCTATTTTATTTTAAGTAGAGATTAAAAAGATCATTTTACTTTCTAGTTCTATCTTTATCTCAACTTTGGGTTTATAACTAAAATCTATTGAAGATCAACATACACCACTAACTGCATTACATGTAAAGGTCCCTGGGTGGCATGAACAGTTTACACTCAGCTACTAAGCAAAAGATTGGTGGTTCAAACCCACTTAGTGTCACAGTGGAAGAAAGATAACTGATGTTTCAGTTATCTAGTGCTGCTGTAGTAGAAATAACCCAGGTGGGTGGCTTTAATGAACAGAAATTTATCTCTCACAGTTTAGAAGGCTAGAAGTCTGAATTCAGGGGCGGCTCGAGAGGAAGTTTCCCACTCTTTGTTCTATCTGGAGGAAGGTCCTTGTATCTTCTCAACTTCTGTTCTTAGCTTCCTTAGTGATCATGTGGCAGATATATTCTCCTCCATTTGTGCTTATTTGTTTATTTAATCTACTCTTTTATGTCCCAAAAGAGATTGATTTAATACGCACCCTACACTTATAATGCCTCATTAGCATAACAAAGAAAATCCATTCTCAAATGGAATTACAACTACAGGTATACCAAAACAAAAACCTAAACCCATTGCTATTGAGTGAATTCTGACTTGGAACAACCCTATAGGATGGAGTAGAACTTCCCCATAGGGTTTCCAAGTCTATAAATCTTTATGGAATCCAGTTGCCATATCTTTCTCCCATTGAGCCACTGGTGGGTGGGTTCCAATAGCCAGCCTTTTAATTAGTACCAGAATGCTTAAGTATCATCACAGAATGCTTAAGTGTGCCATCACAGTTCCAATTACAGGTATACCAAAGTCAAACTGACTGCCGTTGAATCAGTTCTGACTTATAGTGACTTGTAGGACAGAGTAGACCTGCTCTGTATGGTGTGCAAGGCGGTAAATCTTTACAGAAGCAGACTGCCCCATCTTTCTCTCACAGAGCAGCTGGTGGGTTTGAACCACTGACCTTTTGGTTAATAGCTGCGTGCTTTAACTACTGCATCCCAAGGGGCTACTGGGCTACAGTTAGAGGGTTAGTAATTAAGCACATACTTTTGGGAGACACAGTTCAATCCATGACACATGGCAATCTACTTTGATAAAGATTACAGCCAAGTACCCTGTGGAGCAGTTCTACTTTGTAACATATGGGGTTGCCATGAGTAGGCATTCACTCAGTGGCAGTAGGGTTTGGTTTTTGTTTTGTTTTGTTGTCCTGTTTATTGTTTGTTTTGCCTTTTTTGCACTCCATCTAGGTGTCTGTTCTGGAAATCTTGACATACTCACTTACACTGGCAAGAATTTATAGAAGCAACATCAACTAATAGTAGTATACCCTGCCCAGAAGTTGTTTGCCAACCTGCTGTGTATTACCTAGTCCACTAGAACCAGTGTAACTAGAGTGAAAAAAGGATGGGTTCTGTGGTCTGGCCTAAGAAATATTAAAAAAAAAAAAAAAAAAAAAAAAAAAACCACCAACAAACCTAGTTGAATGCTGTAGCTATCAGAATAGCACAATAGTTCGGAGAGGCTTCTAAGAAAGACGACTTCTTCTGCTTATCCTGAGCTCATATGTCAGGATTTTTTTAAAAAAATACATACCCTCTATCTGGGAAGTGGCAGCAGACAGCTTTTTGGAGGGCTAGAACTGGTAGGGGAGGCCAGGAAGTGGGAGTGGAGCAGTTTGGAACTGCTAAGGTAGATAAACTTGTCTGTCAATTTGTCATCCTGTGGTGGCTTGTGTGTTGCTATGAGGTTGGAGGCTGTGCCACCAGTGTTTCAAGTGCCAACAGGGTTAGCCATGGCAGACGAGTTTCAGCGCAGCTTCTAGCCTAAGACAGACTCGGAAGAAGGAAGAGACCATCCACTTCTCAAAGAATTGGCCAGTGAAAACCTAATGAATAGTAGTGAAACACTCTCTGATATATTACTGAAAAACAGCCCTGAAACATTGTCTAATATACCACAAGGAATGAGCCCCTCAGGTCAGAAGGCACTCAAAATATGACTACCAAAGAGCTGCCTCCTCAGAATAGAGCTGACCTTAATGATGTGGATGGAGTAAAACTTTCAGGACCTCCTTTCAGTAATGTGGCATGACTCAAGATAAGAAGAAACAGCTGCAAACATTTATTAATAATTGGAACATGGAATGTACGAAGTGTGAATCTAGGAAAATTGGAAGTTGTCAAAAATGAAATGGAATGCATAAAGATCAATATCCTAGGCATTAGTAAGCTGAGATAGACCGGTTTTGGCCATTTTGAATCAGACAACCACATGATCTCCTATGCCGGGAATGACAAAGTAAAGAGAAATGTCGTGGCATTCATGATCACAAAGAATGTTTCAAGATCTATCCAGAGGTACAATACTGTCAGTGACAGGATAATATCCATATGTCTACAAGGAAGAGCAGTTAATACTACTATTTTTCAAATTTACGCACCAACCACCAAAGCCAAAGATGAGGAAATTGAAGATTTTTACCAACTTCTGCAGTCTGAAATCTACCAAACGTGTAATAAAGATGTGTTAATTATCACTGGTGACTGGAATACAAAAGTTGAAAACAAGGAAGAATCATCTGTAGTTGGAAAATATTGTCTTGGTGATAGAAATGACGCTGGAGATAGAATTTTTCAAGACCAACGACTTATTTATTGCAAATATCTTTTTTCAACAACACAAACGGGAGGTGTATATGCAGACTTTGCCAGACGGAATACACAAGAATCAGATTGACTACATCTGTGGCAAGAGGCGATGGAGCAGCTCAATATCTTCAGCCAAAACAAGGCTAGGAGCTGATTGTGGAACAGACCATCAACTGCTCATATGCAAGTTCAAGTTGAAGCTGAAGATAATTAAAGCAACCCCATGAGAGCCAAAATATGACCTTGATTTTATCCCTCCTGAATTTAGAGATCATCTAAAGAATAGATTTGAT